ACTTTTAATATTGAGAGTGTGATACTCGTATATTGAGTTAGATTTATGAGATAAACAAGTCATAATATCTCTATTAGTTTATTGAGCTTTTCCAAAAAAAATTATGTTTTTGGTTATTGAGATCAACCTGAAAATCTCTAAGAAAGTTTGTTATCTAAGCATGTGGTGAAAGCTATCTTTGGTTGGGGATAAGTCTATAAAAATCTTAATGTTAGATTATAAAGATTTGCGGGTATAACCTTCAAAAGCTCAAAGTTTATAGTCAAACTCTCAAGAAGATCTCTTGGGGACAAAACTAAGCCAACGTTCGGCTAAACCTGTATAAATCTCTGTCACAATCTATCTAACCCTATCCTTTTAATTTTTACTGCTATTTTCTCTTAAGAAACTACTAACACAATTTTATGTTTAATCAAGAAAAAAAATTAAAAGTAATCACGAATATTAAATACCACGATTCACCCCTCTTGTGCTTGAAGTCAGTTGTCCAACATTAATCACTACCATATCTAAACTTTACACAACAAATCACTATAAATAAATTAAACCTAACAACACATGATTCCTAAGAAAGCGGTAAAAACCTAAAACATGTAACTATAAATAAAATTTAAAGGAGATAGGAAAAAGAAGATTACATCAGGGTTTATACTGATTTAATTTATTTATCCTTGCTTTTCACCTAATATAGTCTTCAATGGAAGACCCTTGAAAATTCATAGTCTTCACTATTTTGACAATTTTACAAGGTGCATTTTCTACAATTGTGGAGCTAAATCATGAAATTTAAAGCAAAAATTAACAACTTCAATCTGAATCTTTACTTATTCCATTGTATAGAGCCCATGTAGATAAAATATCAACACTTTCACTCATACTTTATTATCCTCTTATCATATCCAAAATTTGTTCCAAGCACCCTTCTGCATCGATCTTTACTCGATCCTACTGATACTTTGTCGGTGCTCTTCACTTATTTGTATAAATGAAAACTCCTAACTTTGTTCAATATAAACCTTTACTCAGTTCTATTGATGTCTTCAATAGAGAATAAATCATTTATTTTTGCTCGTGCTAGATTATCAATTACTAACAACATCATACAATACTAATCTTGACCTACAACTAAAAAACTTCACAATGATTATACACTTCTCTATGATAGATTTCACTTTCTCTAAGAATCGAGAAGCAACCAATTCATGGTATCTCACTAGTGGTTGAAGATGAATGCAAATTCAATTAAATATTGTTATTTAGTGTACTTTGAAAGTTAAAAACCTATTTTGAAAGAATCTCAAAGTTATGATGTTATTACACCTTTTTTATATAAATGACACAAGTGATTTATATATGTGCTTGAGATAGAGTACTAGAAGCGAATAAAAACACCCATTTGATTTGAGTTAAGTTCAATGATTATGATTTAGGTTGAATGAGGGAATGAATTTGAGTCAAGAATTAAAAACCCAAAAATTGACAATTTGATTCAAATTAGTGACTTGAATAAATGAAATGTCTGATTCGAATGATGCTGAAAAAATTGAAGCCCCGATTTTGAGATGAATTTTTTTATTCGAATAAGACTTTTGCTTGATTTGAATCAAGCTTGCTTCTGATTCAAGTTAGTGATTCTTGTGATTGGAATCATATTGACATGGGAAAATCGTGTTTTCACATTTATTTATTTATTTATTCAAATCATGCTTAACCTTGTATCAAATCTTACTTGAAAAACGAGACTTAATTATGGGAAAGTTGTGATTCAAGCCTGCCTACTCAACATCACGAGCTTCATTTAGAGATGCAAAGATTTAACTAGATTTCAAGGAAATATCACCACCTTAAAGAATGCTATAACCATAATTAAGTCAAGTGTTTATCTCTCTGGGATGAAAACGAGACATACCCTTTATTTCTTAATGCCAAATTTCAAAATTCTTAAAACTTCTAATGTGGAGGTTCATCCTTCTAAAACACCTATGATAAAGGAACTCATTTAACAACAACCAATTGAGATTTGGATAAAGGGCAATTGAGATAACTCATATGCTTCCAACACTAACACATATGCTTTTGAGGGATTGTTTAGAAATCATTAAACTAAATTCATTGGTGGATTTGCATAAAACACGGGCTTACACACTACTTTTTATGCTGAGATGGCTTGTGCAATTAGAGCAATTAAGATAACGTAACTCATACAATGGTATCATCTTTGGTTGGAGACCGACGAATGTTAGATTTTAAAGAATAAGTGGTACACTTGCCAATCTTCATTAGGAACATGAATCTTATGGTTACTCACGTGCATAGGGAAGACAATGTATCAGCTTACTCCTTTTTCATCCTTAGGCTAATTTTACTTGATTACACATTTTGGGACGAGATGCCTCTTATCATTTGTAAAGTCTTATTAGTAACAAGTTAGGTCTCCCTAACTCTAGAGAATGAACTTTTGGAAACTCCTCCAAAATAAAATCACTTGGAGAATGAACTTTTTTCAGCATCATTTATTTCTTGTCATTGGCGGACTTTCCCATGGTGTTTGTCATGAATTTATTTGTTGATTTTCCGTGTATTTATTATCACTGAAGTGATGGTAAATCTATGGTATATGATTTTTAGGTGGATTGAGTTAGATTTTATCATAACATTATATATATTTTAGCTATTCAGTTATACTAGTGAAAAAATAGTCAAATTATTGTATCATATGGTCTAAATAGTAATATGTTGTAAAAAAAAAATACTTAGAACACGCAACACAAATTTTTTAAGAGAGAAAAAGTATAGTTTGAAATTTTTTTTTAAAGAGAATAAAATTGAAAGTTGATGTATTTAGAAGAATCAAAATATATTTGACCTTACTCTATAATTACACAATTTTTAATTTAATAATCACAAAAACTAAATTAAATTGTGTATTGAAAACCTTTTTTTTTTAAGGAGTTCAAGAACGCAATAGTTGAAAGAGGAATAATCTAGCTACTAACTTTTAAGTTTGCTTGAGAATGATTTGTATCACTCATCATACAACAATATTCAATTACATTTTTTAATCAATAAATGTATTTATTAATAAAAGACTAATATATATATTAAGATACAAATATAATTTCATTTTTTTAATGATTATTATTAAATAAACATGACTATAAAGAAAATCACAAATTTTTGCACTATGATAACTTAGACATTTATTTTATCAAAAGAAAAAGTGAAACTTCTTTTATATTTATGATCAATTTGTTTTACATACCTAGGGTTGGAAATGAGTCGAGTCGAGTCGAACTCACCTCAGCTCGGCTCGACTCGTTAAGAATTGTTCGAATTCGAGTTCGAGTTCGAGTTCGACACGAACTTTTTTTTAAGCTCAAACTCGACTCGTTATAAGTTCACGAACAGTTCGGTTCGACTCGTTAGGTTCATCTCATTAGGTTCAGCTCACATGGTTCACGAACTTAAAAACTATTTTTTTAAATATATATATATATTTTAGTATATTTGACATTTTAAATAAAATATTAAAATAAAATAAAAGTTATCATATTGAAATTTAACTTTATCTTCGAAATCTACTAATTCAAAACCTACACAACTTTCAAGAGATACATTTGAGAGTCTAATTCAAAAACTACTAAATTGAAGATTAAATTTGTCTAAGATTTGAAGTAAATATTTAAACTTAATCTTAAAGACAGTATAATTCTTTTCATATGTAATCGAGTTGACTCATGAACCTAACGAGTCGAACTATGTATAGTTCAAGTTCAGCTCATTTAGTTAACGGACTTAATTTTTCGCTCATACTCAACTCATTTGATTCATGAACCTAGTTCAACGATTTAATTGTCGAGTCGAATTCCGAACTATCTTCGAGTTGGTTTGGTTCATTGCCAGCCCTATACATACCTAATAATTTTGTCTGCATATATACACTTAAAAGCCACTTGAAAGTACTTGAATATATATATACTTAAACAAGTTAAAACCATTTTTAATAACACCAAATCTTTAAAACAAATAACATTTTATATTAAGAAACAAAAACACTTTCTTTCTGTTTCCCATTTCACTTTCTTTCTCTCTTTTTTCACACATGGCCTTTCTGTCTTTTATTATCATCTCTATTTCCTTGCTGTGTTTGGTTGGTGAGTCCCCACAGTGTTTTTCTAAACCTCTAAACTACTAACCTATCTCTCTATTTCCTCTCTTTTCTCTCACTCATTCACTCACTTTCACATCAAAAAGTCACAAAAAACAGCTTTCATTTTTACACAAAAATAGTCTTTTTTTCTCTTCCATTACAAAACATTAACTAGGATTTGACTTCTAATGTCTGTCTCACTCATTGTCCACTAGATTTTTCTTAGCCACAAGGAGTCATGATTTTCTTGAAGATTATTGGTGTTTACACTAAGAAGCTTTCTTGTTTTGTTGGTTGAGACTCAAAGTTTGAAGCTTTGGTGGTGTTTGTGTTTTTTCAGTTCAAGTAAATTTGTGACAGCTGTTGAAATTCCTCAAATAAAGACAGGTTTTTTAAGGTAATAATTGTCTTTGTTTGTCTTGTCTCTTGGTGAATATCATTTGAAATCCAAAAGGGTCATGGATCTACCTCATAGAATCTCAATTTGATCTTAGGTTTATTGTTAGCAAGATTTGTTTGTTGAGAGAGAGAGATAGGGAGAATGAAATGCATAGAAGGGTAAAACTAGAAAAAGATTGCCATGTTTTGAGTGAGTTTTTACCACTTTGGCCTTGTTGCTTTTTGCAAGGAGTCTTGAGAGGAAAGATTTTCATTTTGCAACGGTTGAAATCTTCAAAGCTGCTTTAATACTAAAACCCCAAGTGAATATTTTCCTTTAACAAAGCCCAACGTGCCTCCAAGTTTCAATTTTTAAAGCACCCTTTTGAAGAATTTATGGTATGATATATTGCATTGGAGTTATATTATATCCTTGAGGTGAATTTTCAGAATTTTCCAAGTGTGTCTATCCATGAAGGTTCCTTTTCCAAGCATAGTGATGCTTGTTTTGCTTCTTTGCTTTGTATCACTTCCTCATGTTAGAGCTCATTCTTCTTCAAATAGTGAAGCAAAAGCTTTGGATGTTGCTCTCCAACAATATGCTTACAAGTCTTTGGTGAATCCTAAAACAGGTACTATATACAATGCAACTCAACTTCCTTCAAATTTATCCGGAGTTAAGGTTTCGGCATTAAGATTAAGGAGTGGAAGTTTAAGGAGAAAAGGGTTTCATATGTACAATGAGTTTGATATTCCAAATGGACTAATTGTGAAACCTTATGTTGAAAGATTGGTTTTTGTGTATCAAAATCTCGGTAATTTGTCCAACAAGTATTACCCTTTGCCTAATTACACTTACTTGACACCAGTTTTAGGACTATTAGCTTACGACGCTTTAAATTTGTCGGCGACAAATTTACCAGAACTCGAAGTAAATCCTTCTGGTGACCCTATATCGGTCAATTTCCGAGATGTTAAATCAGCTCCTCGTGATAGTGTTGTGAAATGTGTTTGGTTTGATTTGAAGGGTGATTCCAATTTCAGCAATGTAAAAGGCGGTAACACATGTTCTACTTCACAACAAGGTCATTTCTCTATAGTTGTTGTTAAGTCTAGTGTTCCTCTAGGGCCGAAAGATCGAGGAGAGGGTGAGAAGAAGAGTAATAAAAAGGTGTGGATTATTGTTGGTTCTGTTGTTGGGGGACTAGTATTGTTGGTGTTGTTTTCATTTCTAGCTTTGTGTATAAACAAATACAAACAGAAGAAGAAAATGCAAGGTATGGAAAGAGCTGCAGATTCGGGAGAAACTCTTCAAATGGCTTCTGTTGGAGATTCTAAAGCACCTGCTGCATCGGTTACAAGAACACAACCAACGCTTGAACATGAATATGCACCTTGACATTATACTTTTTCGCACAATCTTTAGTTTGCTGGTCCATTCATATTCAAGTTAATTTACTGCAATCCGAAATTCTTCTAATCACCCTTTTAGATTTTGATTGTATGCGGTCACAATCTTACGCATTCACGTAGTCAGCTCACAGGAGGACGTTGGATCGAGATCAGGTAGTGCATAAAGCAAGAGGATTCTATTTGCTCTTAGACTCGAAAACACCATGCTTAAAATCTACAACGTCAAATCTCGATCCAATGACCACCAATGTGGTGACTCTGTGAAATTGTTGACTTGAGGTAACCGAAATCCTTTTTCTTTTGGTACAACTTTCTTTCCTTGTTTGTTTCACATAGGAATTTTTGTGTACATCTGTAATGCTTTTAGTTTGTTTCATAATTCATTGTGGTGGTAATTTAGCAGTCCAAAAAGTGTTGATAATGCCATGAATTCAGTCATGCTCCATTGAAAATGAATAAAAACTTCAACTACTACCTGTGATTATTTAATTTGTTTTTACTTTCTGTCTTTACATGGTTGAAAACTTAATAGCTTGATATAAATGTTGTGGTCACACTGGCTTTCAGTTTCCATCACTTTTCACATTGGCTTTTTAGTGTTTACATTTACTCATACATAACATTTCAAAAAAAAAAAAAAAACAATTTTCTTTTAAACTTAGTATCCGGCCTTTAGACTGACTAATCGAAGGAGATCAACTCTACCGCCCACTAACGGGGATTCATTTAAAGACAGAGGAAAACTCTGTATGGACTGACCTAATACAAGGATTGTTAGCATCTAACGAGATTCAAAGACAGAGCAAAACTCTGTATAGACTGACCTGACATAAAGATTGTTAGTACTTAGCTGAATTCGAACATGAGAAGAGCAAACAAAATATTTATGGCTAGTCGTGAAAATTTTTCATCGATAACCTCTTCAGCGATAACATGTCTAAGTTAGAAATCAAACTCATGACCAGTTGGTTAAGGTGTCTGAATCTTTAAGCACGTTGGCCAACCATATGTTGCCAATAATTATGAAGATAAGGATTAATGCTTAGAATTAGAATAGAAAAACAAAGTACTTATTGAAGGAGCCTCTCCTAATCATTGCTTACATTTGTTTATACTTAGTTTCCAAACACAAAGACAAAGGAAAGTATATAAACAAATAACAAGACTTTGTGCTGTTGTGTGCTGGCAATTCAGTGATCATCTATATACAACTGAAAAGTGAAAAGGACATTGTAATTGTAATTATAATACAGGCAACAATGTCAGAACAGAAAGTAAAACTTCATAGTTTTGACAAAAAATACTTCTTCTCAAAATTGGATCCTCTACTACTACAACAGCACAATATTGCAACTTCTTCTAGACATTGGATTCTCTAGAGAAAGAACAAAAAACTTTTTTTCAGCACATGGGAAAGAATACTATTCTAGTGCCATATAACTTTTCAGCTATTAAGCCATTAAAACACTCTCAAATGCAAACAATATTTAATGCTAGTTCTTCTTTTTCAACTGATAAATAGCATATGAAATTTGTAGAGTATGCAATTATGCATCTTAATAATGATATAGACTTCTAAGCTACTACATTCCCTTCCTTTAATAAAATAGAACTAAAGGAGTATTATTTAATTGTTTATATGAGTCAACTACTCAAGCTTTATATATAAGAATAAGGAAACAAAACAAAGAAATTGAATGTTTTTAGCTGCACGGGTGAGGTAAGTGATGAAGTGAGACATCACATTCACAGCTCAGTTCCACCAGCACTGGTCAATAATTTTTATGTCTTTTAGCTCAAGTAAGTATACACAACTTTTATCCTAAATTTCTTTTTTATTTCTATTCATTCTATATTGCTTAAGTTTTGAGACCATAACTCCATTCATTAGAGGCCATAATATGTCAAATCAAAATTCAAGCAGATATATTTGTTGTCAAAAAGGAGTTATCGAATGGTAAAATGTCGATATTGAAAAATTGACATCAAAATAAGTATGCATACGATTTTAAAATTACATAAATATTTTTCATTCGATAGTAAATTAGACGTGTATAAATACAACAAAATACGAGTAAACCAAATCTTTCTCAAGTCGAATGAGGTTTATTTTAGTAGTCAAGATTTTTGACACAGGCAAAACATAGGAGGACTAGACGATTGAGTATTATAACAATAACCATGTCACGTGTTGATAGCGCTACTATCTGAAGATAATAAAAATTACACAAACATAATTTAAGGAAGTTGTGCACTCATAGTAGGGTGAACTGAATATGTCGAGAAACAAAAAATAATAAATTGAATGTGAGGTGCTACATATCTCAAAGTAGAAGGAACATTAAGACATTACATGTGTAAATAACCAAATAAACAAGCATTTCTGCAAACCATGATTCTATGACCAATAGAATAATTTTCTTTATAAATACGATTTGTTTAGGACATTCCATCGATTAAACTGTTTTACGCACTTTATCTCTTTAATTTATTTTTTAATGCATTTCTTAGGTCAATAGTCTAACATCCCCATACATCATACTTAATGCTCGCACAAATAGTTAAAGAACGTACAATTAAGGAGCAAATTTCTTTCTTCAATGCAATCTCTTGAAGACAATGAAATCACTGTTGAAATTAATTAGTGGATCCTCAATTAACTTTTACACTTCAACAACAAACTAAGTACACCCAATAGAAAACCAATACTGCTAAAAAAATACGTTCACCCGATCAGGACTAAGTTTGACGTCTGGAATGAATATTAGCAACATGGATCAACCATGAACGAAGAAGTTGGGCTAACAACGACTTCATGGAACTTCATAAGAACTAGAAATACTTATATTTTGTCTCTTTCAACTGCATTTCGAGGTGTGTCGGTTGTTCACTAGAAGAGTCAATAGTATTGACAATGCTTTTTATCAGATAATAATTGCACATGAGGATACATGATGTCATGTATCAAGTCTCTAAATAATTTGCTGACATTGTGTCATTAATGATTTATAGCGTGGTGCAAAAACTAAAGAGTTAAAAACCAAAAAAGTCAATTCATATGACAATTGTGTCATGACTACCATATATAGAATTGACTTTCCTTTGATTGGTTTGAGAATCCTAGATCGTTTGTTGGTTATATTGACGAACAACCATGAATTACAAATCCACTTTATTAATGCAATATACTAACAGTATTTGGAAATCATGAGAGAAAAAATCTCGAAGAAAGCCAATACAGGCAATAGAGGAATCCCTCACCTCAACTTTAATTTCAACAACATTTCTGAAACCCCTTAGATAATGTGTTGGGCCAACTATCTTCAACAAAATCTAGACTCCCTGGACAACAATTATTGAATCCCTCACCCATAACTCATATAACCAATGTTTAAAAACTCGAGAGTTTAAGTAGAATCGGTGGAGGATTCAAAAATTGTAACTCGAAAATTATAGTACGGATCGTAAGATCCTACTACAGGTAGAAAAACACTGCAACAAATCGGCGACATCAATGTCTTGTTGAATGAAAGAGAATTCAATCAAATAGAAAACTTGAATGTGAAAGAGAAAAGAGGAAGTAATTCTGTTTAATTATTTGTTAAGAGGAAGAAGAAGCATGACTATTAACGAGGAAGAAGAGAAGAAGTAATGGAAGAAAGATAATTTATGTTAGAAATAATTCTATAAGGGTTTAGTTATTCCTTGAATCTATAAGTTTCTCTTGAAAAGAGAAATTTTTATTAGTATTTAATATGTTTCTCTTAAAAGAGAGAAATTTTGATCAGTATTTAATGTATTTCTATTTTAAATAATAATAATAATAAATCTGTATTTAATGAAACCCGACCCGATCCAGACCCATTTTAGAAAATTAAGGTTTTTTTCCTAAGCAAAACCCCTTAAAACAGAAGCGCTTCCTGCAGGATGAAAAACGAGTTACAATTTCAACTTGGGCGAGTTTACCGAGTTTCACCATCCGAGTTTTTACCTCCAACTCAGCACGCTGGCACGCTTCTGAAACGTAAACTCGGGCGAGTTAGCGAGTCAACTCACAATTATGCATACACTGCATATAACAATGAGACATTGTTGGATACAACGGCCTCTGGATAGGCCAATGTATAGGAAGCTCTATCCTGAATGGGTAGACATTTTGATGCTTCTTCCTAGAAGTTATAAAGCTCCAAAGTTTATATCTTTTCAGGGGGGGTATGGAAAATCAATAATGGAGTACATTGTAAGGATTACAGTTCAGTACGTTAAGGGAAACAAAAATGAATTCCATAAACTACAGTTGTCCCCTTTATCGTTAACATGAACAAGATTTTCATGGTATTCTTGTCACTTCCAAACTCGATACAAACCTAAGCAAAAATAAACACATTTGGTCTTATATAGCTAGGAGAATACTTAAAGTAAAGTCACTTTGCAAAAGTCAGTAAATCAATATTTTCCTTCACTCTTAGATTTGATGAAGGACAATGTTGTTTATGGTAGGTGTATATTGTGCCCTTACCAATAATAATAATCTTGTTGAACATTCTTTTAAAGGGGGTGAATTGTGGGGGATTTGAAAACGTTGGTTTAAAATAATTTTTTTCTTATAAATTGGATATGTAGTAGAAAATCATAGTAAAGAAAATATGCAAAAAAATAAAGAGATAAGAGAAGAGAGAACGACAACAAAAATTTATAGAGGTTCAGTCTAAAAGATGTGACCCACCTCTCCCTCAAGAATTAATCTTGAGAGTTTCCAATAATTCTTATGAGTTTTTAGAAGGTTAAGCTCATAAACCACCTTATACAAGGAAAAATGAAGTTTCGGGTTTACTTCCAACCAAAGAGTTAATAATAGAATGAAGGGGTTACTCTTCACACTAAACATGAACAAAGCTTCGAGCAGTTAATTTCCTAGATAAACCTAGATTTTGTATGAACTTATCTTGAACCAATGCAGAATTTTGAACTGGAAATCCTCCAAAC